CCCCTATATATTTTCTGAAAGCAGAGCCCCATGACAATCAAATGCTGGTGAAACAGATTTTCAAACCCAAATGTTCTGTAAAAAATGCAAATTACTTTTAGTGCACACAAACAATATAATACCCAATGTTTTTGTAAAATATAAAAGAGGAGGTTGCACAGAGTAGATACCAAAGACTCAAAACTCTGTGTGCCTATTTATCGGTATCTGAAATTGTCTATTGGGGACTTTAAAAGCCTGTACAGTCAATGAATTTAGACTTGACCGTAAAGAATGGCATACCCAACATGTATGGTGCAAACTTTGCTTTCATATGTAGGCACACCACTACATTTTTTTTTTACACTTAGGAGAACTATGAGGTGAGTGAAAATCACTCAGACTCACAGTTCTAGCCGACGTGTGACAATGAAACTGTCACAGGTCGGCTCAATAGATCGGGAAGTGAGCGAACACATACCGTTGCTCGTTCACTTCTCGATCTATCCCTGCAGAGAGCCGTGACTATCACTCACGGCTCCCCGCAGGGATTCCCCCCCCTCCCCAATCCTCCAGCGCTGACTGGCGGAACGGACGGGGAGAGGGCGGGTACAGCTGGCTCTGCCTCTAGATAGGCAGAGCCAGCTGTCACTCACGCAGCTGGATCTCGACAGTAATGTCGGGATCCGTCCCGACTGCGGCAGTCTCAGTATACCCTGAACTGTAGCTCGCGGTATACTGGGCTTTGGAAACCAAAAACAGAAGACCAACGCACTCATCAATTCATCACCAGTTTACAGTAAGGTGCTCACACAATGGGCTTTAAACAGTAAAACAGCAAAAAGTTTTCCTGGCACACTCACAAGCCAGCATGTAAAAAAACTTGTTTCACACGAAGGTTAAAAACAGAGGTTTGGATACACGTCTTTAAGGGGGGTTGGGCTTCCTCCTGACAAACCTGCACCCAATTTATCTTCTGCCCCATGTGCTCCAAGATGGAGACTCCGATAGTTAGGACCGCACTATAAGAGGTGCCTTGGCGCGGCTGTGCGGCTTTCACATTCTCTGCAGAAGACGTGTATCCAAACCTCTGTTTTTAACCTTAGCGGACAGGTTTTTTTTTTTACATGCTAGCTTGTGAGTGTGCCAGGAAAACGTTTTGCTGTTATACTGGGCTTTGGGTCACGGGAGGACGCTAGTCTGTGCCCTCCCGTGACCCTCGGGAGAACAATGGGGAAAAGCACTGACCCCATAGTTCTCCTTTAACGCTATCAAATAGAGGATCGATAGCACAAATGGGGGGTGTAGAAATGATTGGCCAGATTTACAGACACCCAAAACACTTCTACATAACCCAGACAGACAATCTGCAGAGGGAGTGTAAACACACATCCAAACTGCTATAGCAGCCTGGAGTGTGATTACAGCTCCATGCTGCCACAGAAGCAGTACTTACATCTGTGACAGCTAAAGAGTTGAAGGTTTTAATCATGCCCCCCTTTTGCCCCCCGAGGCTGTATATATCAAGTTTTACCTAGTACCTCCCGATATGTTTAATCCTGCGGACACTACTATTTTTTCTTGCCCATCCCTGGACTCGCTCTACCTTATCGATATCTCTTTGTAAGTGATAACTTCAGATCTGGACAAAGCATACTAAAATGAAATTTTAGTAAAGCTCTATATAGTGGAACAGAATTGATATAAAAAAAAATATATACAGTATAGACTTCAAAATCAAAAAGCCTTTAGTTATGAAGTGGTTAGGGGCAACCTAGCAAGATTTGGAAATGATATAGCAAGTGACAGAAAGAGAGCAAATGGGTCACCTACCAGGTTGACCATTTGTGTGCAAGCATCACCATTCTTCTTACGAGCTTTACATGTTCCCAGATCCATTGCTTCTCCCATTAACAAGATCTTCTGCTGGTTGTCAACAGACAGGCACACCTGTGGTGAATGGGGAAGATAGCTATAATAGGGCAATTATAGTTTTAAATATACATATATTAGCAATGCCTTTCAGAGGAAAAAGCATTAAAAAGGCTTGCATGGCCAGAATAAGATTGCCTATAGACAGAGTACTGGTTTTATGGCAAACATAATGAAGATAAATGCATTTAATGAAAAGGAAACCTGAATTGGCCAACAATTAAATGTCCATTTCAGTGGATTTTCTGATAAAAACTATGAATTGGGTGTATTCATTTAGTGGTCTACTTTTTATGAGTTACGCAGAAAGTTTTTTCTTTGTTAACCAGATCATGCCAGAGAAAAAAGGGGTTCAGATAGTCCGACTTCAACGTTTTCTCAGGAAAGCAATGTATGCTGCTGTTTGATAAAACTTACCTCATCTGAGCCCTCTTTTGGTTTCATGGGATTAGCATTTAAAATGCCAATGACCATTCCCTGGTCTGTTTTCCAGTGCTCTTTGTGTACATCGCCGAACAAGAACAGAGATACACATGTATCTAAATTTTTCAAGTCATTCAGTCTCCAAATGCTGAATGTTTTGCCCTGAAAAACAAAAATAAAAAAAAGCTACAATAAATCAAGAACTTTCCTCTGAATAAATAAAAAAATACAGCATTAAAAAAATAAAGAAGCTAAAAAAAAATATTCACAAATTAAAAAAAATGACACAAAAAATGTTTTAAAGTCCCCCGCCCCCCCCACATGCAAACATGCATCTGGTGCGCCTATGTACGAAAATGACGATTGTGCCCATTAGGCAGCACATGTTACATATCGCCACGAACGTCGGAGTGAGAGCAATAATTTTAGGGCCATCACTGATAACACTAAACTGATGAGCGGTAAAAACGTTTAAAGTGTCTCCTATGGCCAAGTTTGGTTGCAGTCGTTTTCTGCGATTTCGCGCGCGCAATGTTAAAGGTTGACATATTTAGTGTCTATTTACCCGATGTGACCACGTCTTTTATATTATACCAAAAAATTGGGGTGAAAATAAATGTTTCATAACATTTTATAGGGAAACATGTTTTTTTTTTTTTACAAAATTTAGGGTACTTTTTTTGTTATATAGTAAAAAATAAAAACCCCAGTGATGATTAAATACCACCAAAAGAAAGCTCTATCTGTCCCCAAAAAAAATGGTATAAAATTCATTTCAGTACAGCGTTGCATGACGGAATAAATGTCAGCCAAAGTACCGCAGTGCTGAACACTGAAAAATGGCCTGGCCAGGAAGGGGGTGAAACACAGCGGTCTTCAAGTGGTTAAAGCACAAATTAAGAGACTGGCAACCAAGGAGTAGTAAGAGAGTAGGAAGTAGAACAGACTATTAAAAGGGATTCAATGTTTCCGAGATGATCATATCCTAAAAATAAAAAGGAAAAATCTCCACAAAAACTATAGCAGAACAAAAGGTAATTTACACCTTTACATCATAAAAGGGAAAAAACTAAAAAGTACACTGGACTTGACACACATAACTCAGTCTATTGATCTATAAATCAATCGTGATTATACAGACTTAAGACTATACAAATGCAAACACATTCAGTGTTGTAATTTCCTGATAAAAATTAATTTGTCTTACATTATTAGAGCTCTGAGGGGTAACCTTCTTGACAATTACACCAAATGTAACCCAATCTTGCTCCTCCAGCTTTTCTGTTGCAATTTTGTTTTGTAATTGGAACAGTTTGATCAGTTTTCTTCCACCCATTTTCCTCTCCATTTCTAGAGACGACACGCGGGGTTTCCTGAATTAAAAATAAAATGCCATTAAGACACAATCTGACAAAAAACAAACAACTGTACATGTTAAAATTAGGCTTTCAGTAGGTGCCCAGCAATTTCCAGGATCAATTAGGTCATTATTTGCATTTCTTAATTTTTCTGCAGTAACTATTAAGTGTCCAAAAGGTACAACACTCAGATAAACACAAAGGGGGGCGCAGGCTGCCTGGTAATTAGACATGACTCTCTATAATTTTAAACATTGGTTGAGTCTTTTAACCCTTTCGCTGCCACCGACATACGGCTTACAGCGGAACACAACGGTTTCCAGCTGGCCACGTCAGTAAGCTTTAGGTCGGTGGCTTTCTCCCTTATGCTTTAAGCTCATGGTTGCTTTAACGATATCAGAATGGTCTCCCCCTGTAAAATAATAGTGGTCATTAGCGGCTGACAACAGCCATTAACAAGAAATCTGGGTGCCGTTAAGCCCACCCTCCCCCGACAGCTCCTCCTACCCTCTCCATGTTTCTCCTCAAATCCCCGCTGCTCTCCTCTGCCTGTATGGGCTGAGGCAGTGGGAATTGGAGGGGAAAATGACAGATGAAGGCAGTGTGTGTGTGTGTGTGTGGGGGGGCGGAGCAGGGAGAGCTGTCACTTTCCACAGGATGGAAAGAGGAGCCGCAGCTGAGTGGGGAGGAGAGCAAAGATGCGGTCATCCTTTCAGTTTCTGTGTGTGACAGAGCGGAGGATCGGGGTAAATATCTGTCATATTTACTGATCCTCTGTGTCCAGAGCAAACACTGGAGTGATCAGCTGATCACACCAGTGTTTCTAAACAACTGGGGACACATAGTACTTCACAGTTATAAATGAACAGGAAGGGCTTTACATCACTTCCTGTTAATTCACGAGTTTCTGAATGGGTAGTAGCACTCAATATCACCAGTTTGTGAATGAATGGCAAACCTCTGTACCGAGTGCTTTCCATTCATTTAGTGCCGAGCCTGCAGAAAAATATTGAAGACTCTGTCCTCAATTTCTTTTTTCATTTCAAAAAGGGCAATGTCTCGTTTAGATATACCAAGAGTCATATTTCCCAGGTTAAGGGAAATTAGTGGCAAAGAAAAAGCCAAAACTTTGTCCCGTTTCCTAATCTCTTATACCTGAGCCGTAGTCCAGAGAATTTTTCCACAGACATCTGTTGGCTGGTAGTGGGTTTGCTGGGAGCGGGCTGAGATGACGCTACTGCTGCAGGGCTAGGTTTACCAACCTTAGATAATTGTGGAATTTTCTTCTGAGGAGGGCTATTATTCTCTGCAGGTAAACAAACCAAAAGGAAAAAAAAAAAAAAAAAGACAAGCATTAGGACAAATATAATTAGAATTCTGGGAAAAGACACAACTCAGTGTAAAAGTGCATATTGTTACCGGACATTGGAAGCTTTCTTTTAGCAGTTTCCTGGTGTTTTCTATTTGAGGTAGATGGGCTGACAAGTTGATCAGCAAATGTACTGGACTCCTGCATAGCTTTAACATTCCTCTCCTTCAAAGGACCGCATTGTGATTTTGGTGCTACAAAGCAAATAAAAAGAACTAGTTTTAATGGGAGCACAAAATATTTTATATCAACTAAACAGCAGCATTTAAAAGTACTAAAAACAAAATCACAGCATTACAAGGGAAATTTGCTGCAGTGCCTCCATCTCTTTCTAGTCCTGCACCACTCCTCCCACACATCAGTGGTTAATTCAGTGTAAAGCCCATCTATAGGTTGACAATATGCAGAAGCACTGAAGTCAACTAGGTTTGGAACACGTATGTATGAAAACAGAATGGCCGCCCATAGACTGCATAGCGCTCGTCAGCGGTGTCAATGGGATAAGAAGAAAAATGTTCATAATAGACTGAAGGGGGATAGACTGTGTAGAGGTAGGCCAATGAGGAGGGAGTTGCAATAGTTGAGATGAGAGACAAGTGAGTGGATGAGTAGCTATTCAAGAGGAGTGTACAGAATTTTGTCTATAAATTGGAAAGTTGTATACAAGATAAAGTAGCAAAACCCAACAATGACAGTTGTGCCTCTTCTGCCCGTTTACAAACCAATCCAGCACCTATACACTGTATAACACAATATTGTAATGTATTAGACCTTACATTCCTATAAAAATAGATAATCAAAAACTCAAATTAAACTGCACCAATTACCTGCTATCCTCATGTTGCTGGTTGGCGGTTTCCGAGGCAATGTAGAGCTTGGTGACTGAGCAATCTCTGTATGCTGAAGCTGTTCCTGCAGCTTCTTCATCTGTTCCTGCATCTTTCTCAGTTCCTCTAAGAGAGAGATGTATGTCACCATCACTAGTCAAGGTTAGGGGAACTGCATGGCTCTTTACTGCTGTCACATCAGTCACTGACCTCAAATATGCTTTCATCATACATACACAGTCCATGTTAGAAGTCAGCAAACCTTACAGTATGTTTTTTGAAGTATGAAAGGAAAGTAGAGTAAGCCCATACAGACAGACTGGCATTTCAGTGAAGCACTTTATTGGCTCATCTAGGTTACTCAAATATACGCTTTGGAAATACATATCATCACCTACATCAGGCATTATGATAAAGAACGCTGATGTTTATTAGTAATTTGAGATTTTCTTTAAAAAAAAGGAGAACTATGGGGTTAAGGCTTTTCCCCATAGTTCTCCTTAGGGTAACGGAAGGACACAAACTAGTGTCCTCCCGTCACCCTAAGCTCAGTATACTGCGAGCTACAGCTCGCGGTATACTGAGACGCCGCAGTATACCTCGTGAGCTACAGCTCGCGGTATACCGAGACGCCGCAGCTGAATCAGATCCCGACAATTATGTCTGGATCCGCCTAGCTGCGTAAGTGACAGCTGGCTCTGCCTATCTAGAGGCAGAGCCAGCTGTACCCGCCCCCACCCGTTCCGCCAGTCAGCGCTGGAGGATCGGAGCACGGGAGGGGGGAATCCAGCCCCTCCCCTGTCACGGCAGAGAGCCGTGACAGGATCGAGAAGTGAGCGAACGCCGTTATGTGTTCGCTCACTTCCCGATCCACTGAGACGACCTGTGACAGTCTCATTGTCACAGGTCGGCTAGAGCTATGAGGTGAGTGAAAAGCACTCACCTCATAGCTCTCCTTTAATAACTTAAAGCCCAATTGCAGTCTCAAGCAAAATGGTAGAAATAAAAATCAGGGGGCAGCAAAATTGTCAGCAACGTGTATATTTGCTTTTGCAGGTCTACAAAAATCTCACATTTCTAAACTGTACAGTGGTCTATAATAATAATGGAAGTTTATTTTCCCAATGGAGCTCTGTTTACAACAGGCTTTTTACAGAAAGGAGAAAGCATAGGGAATTAGGGCTGCAACCAACTAAATTGATAATAATTGACTATGAGAATAGTTGTCAACTATTCTCATTATTGATTAGTCGGTTGGATCCCCTAGCTCTTTCTTCCATGCTGGGAGGAGGGCACAGCAAGCAGTGGGTGAGTGCAATAGCCAGTCTGCTATTGGTTATTGCAAATTGAAATGGCCAATAGCAGGCTGGCTATTGCACCCGCCCACTACCTGCTGTATGTACATTCAGCTGCCATCTGTGGACTCTTGCCACTGGCAGCTGTCATTCCCTGGCTGAAACTATTTAAGCGCCAAAAAAATTGTGCATGCAGTTTTATTCTGAAGTAAACTGTAGGCTTGTAACACTGCATTTGTGTATTTTATTTTAAATGAAGGGTGGTAGTCATTACATTTTTGTATCCCATTAATTGAAAAAAGAATCGGCCAACTAATCGATTGTGAAAATAATCATTAGTTGCAGCCCTATAGGGAACATCACCTTACTCCCCACTAACCCCTGCAAAATAAAAAGACAAGAACTAAGGGCATATTTTCTTTTAAATAAATATTAATGTAATTTTATTGGTATCTATCTACCAGTAGCTGCCTCATTTGCAACCCTCGGCTTATATTCAAGTCAATACTTTTTCCCAGTTTTTTGTGGTAAAATTAGGTACCTCGGCTTATATTCGGGACGGCTTATACTCGAGTATATACTGTAATATCATAAATTCTACACTCCAGATGCACATTTTGGTGAGGTCTGCATGAAAAGAAATAAAGCTCACCTTAAAACAAATGCGCTTTTGTAAATAAGTAACACCTACCTTCCAGTTCCTTTTTAGATTTTTCCTGAGTGGGTGAAGGGGTTTGTGTATTGTTTGGAAGAGGAGGTAGATCATCTTCAAGATCATCAATATCACCAAACAGTGTATTAAAATCTTCTTGCACCTCGGTGTCCCGTTCTTCAGCTCCACTGTCACTTTCATGGTAAGACCCTTCTTCGTTGCCATCAAATAATTCGTCAAATGCATCAGGCTCGTGTGAAGCATCAGAGAGGTGTGAACCGCTGCTTTCAGCAGCTTCATTTTCCTCCAGCAAGGAAGTCAAAAGATCCAGGTCAGTGTTATCTGGTGAGATGCACAGAGAACATTCACAGGACCGCTACTGTGACCATTGCAGTTTAAAACAAGAGATTTGTTTGAGTTAATTAGCCGTGTTCTTAAAGTGACATTAAACCCTCAGATTCTTTAACATAAACCAATACTGTAATGTGTGCCTTACTGTAATCCATGGTAGTTTCCCTTCTCTTTGCTGCTCTTCCATTTAAATCCTCATGTCTTCTCATGCTTGGGGAGAACTTCCCTTTGCAGCTGAGTGCCTCTTCCTGTAGTGCTGGCTCAGGTTGTGAACCTTCACACAGACACCATGTATCCATTTCAGAGACAAGGCAGTCTGCTGCAAAACAGAAGTTCTGCCCAGCATGAGAACAGATACAGATTTAAAAAGGAAGAGCAGGAAAGAGAAGGGAAACTACCATGGATTACAGTAAGGCACACATTACAGTATTGGTTTATGTTAAAAAATCTGAGGGTTTAAGGTCACTTTAAGGAAATCATATCTAAACTTATACACACACACACACACCATAAAAGTTTTGTGACAAACTGAAATCTACAATGACAAATTTTACTGCATCCAGCTGGCTACATTTCTGGATGTAAAAGTACTGAATACGAGGTCAAGCTGAAGGATCTGCAAATCACTTGCCCATGTAAAAGTGTGCCTATATCTGAAAACCCCACACTGTAAAGCTGGCCATACACTGTATGAATTTCAACAGGTTCTGGATGAGCCACCCAAAATGAATTAAGTGGGTGGCCCTGTCGGCACCTATTAGGATCCTTCTATGCGAAAATCGAAGGAGCCAGTTGGCTGCTTTCACCATTTGGCTATCCTGACATTGTCACACCCGCTGCTGTCAGAATACAATAGCCCAGCGGGTGATTCGTCCATCCATGCTGTTTAGCGTGGATGGAGTAATCCGTTGTATCATTTTCATTCAGCCCACAGGTTGAACAATAAAAGAGTGCATAGCCAGCTTTAGCATCCGAGCTGACCATCTGTAGGAATCATTCACTACACAGGACAGCAATTGTAGATTAGGTGTAGAACTACAGTAGTGTGTCATTATTGGAGTCTGCATTATCAGCTATAGTGTAAAGCAGGGGTAGCAAACCTCCGGCCCTCCAGCTGTGGTGAAACTACAAATCCCATGATGCATCTCTCTTCGGGAGTCGTGGCTGTGAGAATCTTGCAATGCCTCATGGGATTTGTAGTTCCACCACAGCTGGAGGGCCGGAGGTTTGCTACCCCTGGTGTAAAGCAACAATTAGCGTGCATAAGCGCAGAACTGGGGCATCATGAACAGCTTTCAATCCAAGCCATCCAGTGAACCTGTAGTCACTTTAAAAACTATTAATCTGGCAACAGATGTGAAAAACATGCACTCACGAGCAGGGCTCCTTATTGTGCAGATCTTGACAATGCTTTGTGGTCAAGCACAGGTCAGCCTTCTGCCCCTCACCTTTGGTTAGTGAGGCCACCCATTATACTGGGTGGATAGATAGTGGATCATAAGTGAGAAGTAGAGGTTAGGAGATCATTTATTGATTGGTGCATGCATAATGGTGTGCCCTGTGTATTAGGCAAGGTTATATGAGCCTTGGTAAGAGTGATATCCTTCCATTAAGATCCCAGTGAATGCAGAGTATCCCCAAACCTTCCAAGATGATGCTTTTACACTGTGCTGTAGCATCATTTTTGGAGATTTGGGATACTCAGCATTCACTGGGATCTTGTTGGAATGATAGTGCTGACACCCACTTAAACTTTGGTTTTTACCAGGTCTGCACACTAAGGTTCACAGCAGGTGCATGCTATAAGGTTCAGTGTGTATTGAAGGCACTATTTACTTTTTTTTTTTAATAACTTTATTTGCAGTGTGCAATCCATTTAGGTCTGTGCAAAGCAGGGCAGTGTGCAATTGTTTACTGTGTGTGCCCTTGCGATGATTAGTATTGATCCAGTACAGAAAAAATGCCAGTCACCACGACTGCTGTAGAGGAGCCCATCTGTAGTACTTACCTATCCTTAACAATCAGTAAAATTAATAAAACAAACCTCATTCATCTCTGTATCTATAAGGATTGTGGAGAAATACATTTTCAAAGTTTACAACACAGGTGTTTTTTTTCTAAGAAAACAATCTGAGCAGGATGTCCGCCCTCCAGTGTAAACAACCAGCCGGTGTTCCTAAGCTGTTAGAAACCACTCGTTTACACAAACAAGGAAACAGCTGCCATGCCACTTCATCCCCTGTGATTTATAAAGCTCAGATTTGTGAATGTGCCCTCAATCTAATATTGATGTTCTTCACATCAACCCGCCAACCCTTCGCTAATTCAGAAATAACTAATTAACTTCAAATATTTGATGAAGTTTAAAAAGATAGCTCACCTTCCATTATTCTCAAGGCAGGTCCTTCACCAAGTGTGATGTCTGAATATAAAAAAGGAAAAATATTTCAGTAATGGGAATGCAGAAATAAAATATATAGTAAAGTGACTCTTGGTTTTGGATAGCACGAGTAAGGGTTAGAAGCTCTGTATGAGGCCTTGTTAGGGAGATTTACACTAACTTTATGTTCTGGTGATATAATGTGATCAGACAGGAAGTAAAATCTAATATGGGAACATTTTTTTCTGTGCTTAAGGTCTGTTTATCCGCGAGCCTTCCATCGCCTGCACATTTTTATACGAGGTTCACTTTACTGGTTGCCAGTGTGACTTGTATTAATCTGCAGCTTTCATTAAAACAATACCTGGTGATCCTGCCATGAAAGTCTTTGTTCAGGCACTGCCTGTTGTAGAGTGGCAAGGCTCTGCCCCTGTCTCACAATTGTTATCTTGTGTGGTCACTCAAAAAAAAAAATAGAAACCACCAGCACTCTACTCCAAAGTGTGAAGTATTACTGCTTTAATCAGCACATTTTGTCACATGCATCATACAGCCAACATTTCGGGGCCACGCAGGGTCCCTTCCTCAGGGCGACAGACATTGGCTGTGACATGCGTCATACAATGTGCTGATTAAAGCAGTAATATTTCACATTTTGGAGTGCAGGTGATTTCTACATTTGCTGTTACAAGACGCGGCACCATCCGTGTCATCACTCCGAGCACCACGACGATTATTGAATGGGTCTGTACACTGTATGGGAGGTGCAGATGATTCACCACTACACTACATGTGTTGTCACTCAGCCCCTAATGGAGACTACAAATGGAACACATTATGCAGGAACAGTCCACTGCCATCCCGGTCCAATGCAGCCTGACCCCGAGGTGATGTTTTTGGCCGAAACAGGGTCCCTGTTAATAGGGAACTGTGACAATTGCCTGAGAGAGACCCTGCGTGAGCCAATATATGAAATATTACTGTGACTAAAAAGGCTGGCATAGCAGCAAAAGTGTCTCTCACCAATGACTTCAAAAGACGCTGTGTAAAGGAAAAGCTTTTATTTTACACACAGCAGCATGGGAAAATGGTGACATTCTGAGCGCTCAGCAGCTCTTTTTCAAGCTAACAACTTGTCCCACTTGCAAAAGAGCTGGTGTGAGCTCGAAACATTACCCTTTAAGGGTGCGTGCCATGCTGTTGCTTTATTTATGTGCAAATACGAGCTATTTTTACAAAAAGGACATTATGAAGTCCTTAGTGAGGGACACCTTTTGCTGCAAATTTATCCCGTTTAACCGTATGGATGCCGAAGGATGGCAACCACACTTTATTGAGTGTTAGCTGGGCTTTCTGCCATCGAGTGGATAAAAAAAAAAAGCAGATATTGGAACAAAATTTAAAGTGCGGACTACAATGTTTCTTTCATCTGCAGAACAGCGCCATACATTTCTATAACCAATATCTAATAGGCCGAGGCGTGCAGAGAAGATGCCTGGGAATCCTCCCAACCAAACTGGTTTTTCTTTTGAGGAGTTCATTTTTTTTCTTCTTCTTCTACTTCAAAATAGATATTATAAGATACACATAAAAGCCTAAAAAAGGTTGAGAATACCAAGTTTAGTAGATATGAGGATTGGTGTGAACCCAATTCAAATCTGTCTGCAGCAGGCCGCATGTTATTGTACATCTATCCCGTGTCTAGAGACAGTCATCTACCCCAAACCACATGTATTCATACAGCCACTGTCACCCTGTCATATATTCGAGAGCCCGTTCACACCAAAGCTGTGCGCTTAACACATGGCACCCCAAATGCACATTCCGCCCACAATTCCAAGCATTGTGGGTGCAAAAAAAAAAGAGTGCATCTATTCCACTACGTTCCAGTGGTGTGCGCTTGAAAAAAAAAGTACAGCAAACAGCACTTTTTTTAAGCACAACTGCATTACAGCAAGGCTATAGAACTGAATGAAATGTCACTTGTGACATTTCAATAAAGTTCTAGCAGAAAAAAAAAAAAGAACAGTGTTATGTGGCTTGACCAAGCACCTTAGGACTGTCCGGGAACACCAGCTGCTGGTGTGAACATATCCTTAGTGATCCTGTTGTTGGAGATTTTAAGTTACCAGTGACAGTCACCCGTCTGCCACAAGCCTTAATCTGGCTATATACTATACAATCTGATTGGGCAATCTCCTTTAAATTTATCAAAACTATATAATAAAAAGACAACCCTAAAATATTAATTCACTTAGCATCAGATCAGACAGGTCCTTGTACTACATAGCTGATAGTAGATCTAAAGTAGATCTAAAGTAGATGGTAGAAACACTGGGGGAATTGATCAAAACTGGAGCCGTTACCCATGGCAACCAATCAGCATCTCTCTTCAGTTTGCTCAGTTGAGATGTGAAAATAAGGAGATAGAAGCTGACTGGTTGCCGTGCACAGCTTCTCCAGTTTTGAGAAATTCCCCACACTGTGACATGTATGGTCACATTTACTGCATAGGTGCACCGGACCCCGCAAACCTCCTCTACAGGTATGTGGTGTATACATTCTGCTTACCTCGTTAGCAGTGCTTTCACAGGCCCGGACTCTGCGAGCAGCTCGGTAGGCCGCGTATACAGAAGATGTCAGCTGCACGGCGTCCCTTCCCGAATCTCCAATAACAACCTACACAGACCGAACCAGATTACCCGCCAACTCTTCGTGGTAGCCCCGCCCCCACACCGGGACGTCATGACGCTTGGCGCCAGTCCTATCTGCCATTCCATTTGGAAGTGTAAAGGAGCAGCTACCTCCCGAAAGGTGCAAACGGCATGTATTGAAGGAAAATATACCGTGTATAAGCGCCTAGTATTACTGAGAACAATGGGCTTTCCCGGAGCTTCCTTTGCGACCTAACTGGCCGTGGTGACGTCACGAGCGCCATGTTTGCTGCTGGCAAGAAGCAGTGAAGACGGGTGTGTTAGGGCAAGCTGCCCTCCCAGTACGCGTAGTGTGGCGGCCATCTTTTGGTTGGTAAGTGTCTCGAATCTCTCATCCGATTTGTCTTGAAAATGATTGATGACGGTTCGTTTTGTCATGTGTATTGAGATTGGATGGTGAGTGTCAAGCGAGGGGAGTCGCAGGCTGTTTCTATACTAGAACTCCATGAAATAGTAATGTGTGACATCTAACTAGTACAACATCGACTGGAGTCGAAATGAGATCGGTGTCAGTATGTGCACTTGTATGATGTACATTGGAGAAGTGGCAGGGAGGGTCCCATGACCTTTGTGTACATTCTGATCATAGGGAAGGGAGGATGGAGCCAGAACCCTCATAAAATGTACACACAGAGGGAGGAATTAACAAATCGGAAATAGGTCAGTTATGTGGTGTAAATATTGGTGCATATTCCATGTGACAAAACTAACAAAGTATTGTACTGCACGTTAAAAGTGTTTTGCAACTGTTTGTTTTAATGTCAAAACAATAAAGCTCTTGCCCCAAGGTTCTAATGTAAAAACAGTTGTAAAATATACACCATTGCCAGAGTGGTGTACATAGTGTAGTGAGGAGGGGCGACCATGACAATTAGTAAAGTACATGGTCTTGGTGTGAGCTGGGTTCCTCCATTCAAAGCTGTCAGTGACGGGGGCGCTTACAATGGTCCGCTTCCATTCATTAATGTAAAAGCTTTATTCCAAAGTCCATCTAGATCTACTACTGCCTCCTAACACCATCCTTCCCACAGGGTGACACTGCTGCTGTCCTAGGAAAGCTCATTGCTCCTACAATGAGTGGAGCCACGCTGAAGCTGCCCATACACTGTTCTATTTTTTTCCTTCAAAAATAGAACAGATTCCTCCATCCACGCTAATGAGCATTGATCAAGGAGTTCCCCGCTGTTTCCTTTGTATTCTGACAGGGGCCGCCAGCCGCTGTCTGAATGCCTGAGTGGAGCTTGCAGCTGGTTGTCACTTGATTGAGGGTTCCTGGCCAAAAGAGTGAAGAACCATCTGAAATTCTCATAGTGTATATCTAGCTTAACATGGTACATATGTTACTGGCTGGATCACCAGGTGAGAATAAAGAGGAAAAAGTCTAAAAAAACAAAAGAAAACTAATGCAGCCGTCACATTTAAAGTGACACTAAACTCAGGCGTTAAACCTTAAAAATGCATTCAGGTACCTCAACTATTTACAAAAATGTATCTTATTTGTGTATCACTCAGCTGTAGATCCTCAAATCATCTCTGAATTGGTGCTGACACAGTCCTTCCTTCTGGAGGGTGGTTAATTGTGTACCCCAATGTGTGTGTTGTAAAGTAGTCACTGCTAAAAAAAATAATTACAAAAATAAATGTCCTTTTTTTTTCTCCCACTTTCTGGACACTTTTTCTTTATTATTCACATCCGTGCATTTAGCACTGCTCCACCCTTAATTGGAAAGCTCCTCACCTCCTACGGTGAACCTTCTCTATTATAAATCAGGTCAAATGCACCTATGCTATATGACAGCCGCTCAAGTTCCTCCTTATCTCCCCCATGGCAATGTAGCATAAGATTCAGCTCAAAGAGAAGAAGAGTAGACCATAGTCAACATGTAAAATCCTATTTTTTATTAAAACTTAAACATTTTACATTTAATAGTCCACTATCCCATGCACACAATGAAAGGCATAAGAATCTAAATCACTCCTTTCCTGTCCTAAGAGTGCGCTGGGGATACTAATACCCCCGTCTCTTTGTCTAGATCCCACCCAGCGTAATGACATCATCAGTTCCGCGCGTTGTTAGATGTTTTATTTCATATAAGTATATGGTACTTATAGTGTTGGCAGCTTTAGAATTAGGTGATCTGGTTACATATACATATTACATATAGGGACACCATGGAATGAAAAATTGGGGCTTACATTTTCTAGGACATTGCCACGATCTGCCACTGAAGTTATTGCTTACAATTGCTATACTTACACTGGCTATTACATTAATTAGGGATGCACCGATACTTTTCGAGTACCAATGCCGATACTTGGCATTTTCATGAGAAGATTCATGCAGCTGGGATCTGGCTCTGGCACTCCACCACTGTCCTGAAATCATCAGTCGATTATTGTTTTAGAAAAACTGTCACAAGTACGAGTACTGATACATTTTTGTTTATTCTCATGTAAGTACTTGGACAAGTATCAGTACTTGTACTCGCAAAACTGGTATCTGTGCATCCCTTTATTTATAACAAAATCATACATTAAAACAGAGATGTACAAATCCCAGGAGCGCTGTGTGCGCCTTACAAATGACAGCTGCCGCCTAACTTTTACATTTTTCTCTAGTGTAGTCTTTGAGCTGGAAAAGTATCTGTACATGTACTTGTCCCCTGCCTCTGAGAACCACATGTTTAGTATCTAAGTGGCCAGTAATCAGGGTCAGTGCTGTCATATGGGGGCATCTGAATCTGAAACTGAACAGCTTTTATAAAATATGATGTCGGTGTCATGGATGCAACATGCATTAAATGTTTGTAGTAACCGTGTCACCTAAATAAAATGAAGGTGCTTACAGGTATAAAGGGCAAGCGTGTAGAGGTTCCTTCTGCATCTTTCATTGCTTCCTTGAGAAAATTCCAACACTCATTCACATTGCAAGTCTAAGATTTTTTTTTTTCCCCCCCAGCAGACAGCATCAAGATGCCGGTATCCTGTGCTGCCTCAGGATGCAAATCAAGGTATACTCTTGAGGCAAGAGAAAAAGGAATTACATTTCACAGGTACCTTATCTTATGTACTGCTTTTTACTGAGGATTTCTCGAAATATTGCCTGTGTTGTGAGTGTGATATTTACTTTCACTTAAAGCCTGGCTTCAGTTAAAAAAAAGTTCTTCTTGCAGCTGGGCTACCCCCTGCACTGCAAGCATTAGCTACTCGTTTATGTCTAGGGGTATTCTTTAACCACTTCAAGACCAGGTGACGCGAGGGGGCGTGTCTGAGCGGACGTCTAGAGACGCCCGCTCAGATCTAGAGAGCTCCGGGCCGGCCGTTTTTCTACTTCGGCCGGCCCGGAGGCAGTTAAAGCAGGGGTCCCCAACCCCTGGGCCGTGGCCGATACTGGTCCATGGCCTGTTGGGAACTGGGCCGCAGGTTTCTGGTAGGATCCTGAACCTGTTAGAAATCTAAACCCGCATGTCACTTCCGGTGTCATCTGAACGCGCAAGCACCTGTGCACTGTAAAGCCAGTAGCTTCCCCGTACAGACATACGTGTGCTAATTTTTGCCTCGGCTGTGAATGTTATGGATCCACTTCCCTGCACATGCGCAATGCAGGATTGGTGGCTGCAGCCTCTGCCCCAGCGGTTGTAGACCCTCTGACGTCATCATGTCTAATGCAGGGCCTGATAGACATAAGGATGTAGAGGGTGGAGGGGAGAGAGGTGATCGCTAGGGGAGTGGAGATCAGGTAACTAAATGTCCTCCTCACAATACTGCTAGACCTATATTACCAGTTAACCTTTCCAGTGTGAGGAATGGCCCCACTGCAAGTGGAGATTTGTTTTCTCTCTTTAAACCATAGATGGGCTTTAAAGTAAGCCTTTCCTAAGAGAAACATGGAGGCTGCCATATCTGACCTCCTTTTAGAAATGCTCATTGTCTTGCTATTATGATGACTTCTGTAATTTCTCACTCAAAGTAAAATCCAAAGACATATCTGCTTTCTTTTTCTGGATTAGTGGCGGAAAGCACATATACAAGAAGGTCAGTTTGATAACCAGGAAACAAGCAAAGGTTAGCAAAGGCAGCTTCCATGTCTCTCCCAAGAATAGAATGTTCTTGAAAACTGAAATGACTCTTAGCCTAAGCCTTTCCATGTACACTCTATGACAACACCAGGTTAACCCTCCCTATTTATGTTGTGTATAATTTCCATGTTAACTATTCTGGATTCAGTTTATGGAAGCCACTGATGAATGAAACATGGGATGGACAGCTTAAACCTTTCTTGTTGTTATTCCTTTTTAGGTAGGCATGGTCTTCATTCTCAGGTGTACTTTCATACAGATTCAATGAAAAGGATTTTTTAATGTGAAAGTAATTTCAGTTTTTGCATTGAATAAAGTCTCATTTCTGCTTAATGTAGCATTCCATTACATTTTTTGTTTGCTACATTTTACAAAGATAATACAGTATGAGCTATATATTATTATTATTATTATTATTATTATTATTATTATTATTATTATTATTATTATTACAG